CTTCTGGCTACTGGAACGTGCCGATGCACCCGGACAGCGTGTCTAAGACCGCATTCACGTGCAAATACGGTCTGTACGAATGGTTAGTGATGCCGTTTGGCCTTTGCAACGCTGTCCCAGCGTTCGAACGGTTGATGGAGACCGTTTTGGTGGATCTCAAGTGGCGAATCTGTTTGGTTTACCTCGATGACTGTGTGATTTTTAGCAAGGACTTCCCTACTCATCTGATTCGTGTGCGCCAAGTGCTGACACGGTTCCAGCAGGCTGGGTTCAAGCTCAAGATGAAGAAGTGTCACTGGGGGCGTAGTCAAGTAGCGTTCCTGGGGCACATTGTGACTCCTACTAGAATCCTGCCTAATCCAGAGAAGGTGAAGGCCGTGATCAACGTGAAGTGTCCGGTGGACGTGCATGGGATCCGCTCTTTTCTGGGTCTGACGAGTTACTTCCGCCGCTACATCCCGGGGTATGCGTCGATCTCCGCGCCCTTGGAACGGTTGAAGATGAAGGACGCACCGTTCGTGTGGAACGAGGACTGTGAAGCTGCGTTTAGATAGTTGATGCGTGCGCTCTTGAAGCCGCCGATACTAGTCTATCCTGATGGCAAGAAACGGTTTAAGTTGTACGTGGACTCGTCACGGTACGCTGTTGGGGCTTGCTTGATGCAAGAGCCGAACGGTCGCGACCGTGTAGTGGCCTACGCTAGTAAGCTGTTGACTGGATCGCAGAAGAACTGGATTAACAACGAAGATGGCATCTCGGAGATTGAATGTTGGGGGGTTGTGTGGGCAACGAGGAAGTTCCGCTGCTACCTGGACAAGCGTGAGTTCGATTTGTACACGGACCACCAGGGGCTGACGTGGGTGTTCAGCCCCGGTAACCGTACGACGAACGCTAAGCTTGCACGGTGGACGATGGAGCTCTCAAACCTCCAGTTCAAAGTTCATCACAAGCCTGGTGCTTATTTGGGTCATGTTGACGGTCTGCCACGGTTGTCGATGGATACAGTGGCGGCTCTGACGATGAGCGACCTCCTGAATCCTGAGAGCACGGTCGATGACGTGCTTCCGGCTTCAGTCGGGGGGCAGCCTGGTACAAACGGTGAACTTGCGAACGGTGAGGATGTTGCTGGCGAGCGTTCAGATGGACATGTGGATGATGACGAACCTGACCGTCCGAAGAGGACGTTGGCAGCGGTCCGGAAACGGACGCGCCGATATCCCCTGTGGACCGGTTCGGACTCGACTCTGAGCAGTTCGTAGAAGCGCAGCGAGAGGTGCCGTGGATCAAGGCTCTCGTGGCTTTCCTGTTGGACGGTGCCTTGCCTCTCGACCCCTTCCTGCGAACGACTGTTGTCAAGATGGGACGTCGATATGAAGTGCGGAACGGTTTATTGATGCGGTGCGTGAATCTACCAGCTCGGGTCGGACCTGCACGGTCTTTGACCGTTCCGGTGGTTCCGTTACCGTATGTGGAGACCGTGTTGCACTACTGTCACTCTGACGTTCTGTCGTCTCACTTGGGATTGAAGAAGACTCTGGAGAAGGTGAGGAGACATGCGTTCTGGCCGGGATGGCGAAAGGATGTCACGGAGTACGTTCGGGAGTGCAACCGTTGTGGTAGTGGGAAGGGCTCGAGACCCTGGCAAGCGGTGCAGATGCAACGGATACCCGTAGCCGATCTCACGGGACCGTTTTCGCTGCTAGTGGTCGATGCCGTTGGACCGTCACCGGAGACTGAACGAGGCAACAAGTACATTCTTGTATTCGTGGACTACTTCACGAGATGGGCCAAGCCTTCGCAGTTCTCCGATTGGACTCCGTCACGTTCGTTGACGTTATGGTGAACGGTGTTGTGTCCCGGCACGGTGTGCCTTCACGGTAGTTGAGTGACAACGGTCGGAATTTCACGTCGGAAATCGCTAAGTCGTTCTATCAAACGCTCGGGATCAAGAAGCTGTTCGGTTCTGCCTATCACCCGCAGACTCAAGGTCTCGTGGAACGGTTCAACGGAACGCTCATGGGAATGCTCAAGATGCACGTGAGTGAAGCGCAAACGGACTGGGATCTGTATTTGCCTCGAGTGTTGTTTGCCTACCGTACGTCTTATCATGAGGCGTTGGGCGATACACCGTTCTTTTCTCTCTACGGACGTGATGCGACGCTACCGCTGGACGTCGCGTTCCTGAACCTGGGGAAGAAGTGGAAGAGCAACGAAGTGGCTCTGTATCGACGGGAGTTATACCGGTCGCTGCGGGATTCTCGTCATCTGGTCGAGCGTCAACTGGTGAAGGCTCAAGATCGTCATGAAAAACGGTTGGTGGACCGTGTAGCCGTGGAGTACGAGGTTGGAGACCCGGTGTGGGTGTATCAACTGTTCCGTTAGAAGCGAGGGGAGGCTCGGACGAAGAAGCTAGCGTTCGCGTGGCACGGTCCTTACCGAGTTGTGGCGAAAGTGGGCGATAATGCGTACCGGATTGACATCCCGTCGCATCCTGACATGGTGGTCACGGTCAACGTGAACCGTTTGAAGAAGTTTCGTGGCAAGTGGACACGGCCGTACATGGATGACGTGCCGGACGGTGTCGAAAACGGTGAAGGGGAGGCTGAAGATGGGCCGCTGGAGGAGTCCGACCTCCCCACGTCGAGTTTCACGGAACGGCTGACCGTTGGTAAGGGGGACACAGTCCTCACTGGTGTCGACTCGCCGTTGTTAGCAGTGTGTGGGAAACGAACGGTGGACCGTTCCGTGGAGTACCTGGTGTTGGTTGCGAATTATGAAACGTTTTGGGTGCCTCGGGCCGAGTTGATGCCTGAGGCCCTAGTGACGGATTTTGAACAAGCCCGGAGGAAGAAGTTGCGGCTGCCCGAGTTGCGTCGAAGCTCGCGGCTGGCCGATGCCAACGAAGAAGTGGAGGATGATGACTTGCTGATGGCGTAGCACGGTCAACGGTGGAAGCGTTTGTGTTTTGGAGAAACGGTCGTGGAGTGATGTTATGAACGGTCGAACTACAAGACTCAAGAACGGAACGAGTGGAAAACGGTTTGCATGTTGTTATTGAGATTAATTGGAGGGACGCACGGAGTAATACGGAAAGAATGAACGGTCAGGAGCGTCCCTGATTCACGGAGAACTACTTGGAGCTCGAAGAGTCGGAGCTCTTCTTCTTGGGGTTGCTCTTGGCCGACGAGTCGCCCTTGTCGTCGCCAGAGCTGCTCTTCTTGTCGTCTTCGGGGGCGCCGTGGGTGTCCGATCTGCGGTCGCCTTCGTCGTCTTCGGCTTGGTCGTCTTGATCGGCGTCGTCCTGCTCTTGGTCGTCGGGCTCGTCTTCCTGCGTGGGGCTCGGCGTAGACGGCTTCTCCTCGGACTCATCGTCTTCAACGTCTTCGAGCTCCTCGTCGACGGGCGGAGACGGCGGCTGCACGGTGAACGTGTCGTCGGCGGCGGCGTAGTCCGAGTCGTTGTCGCCCTGCTCCTTGCGCTGGAACGGCTTCAAGTCCATGACGACCCTGTACGTGCCCTCCTTGAGCTGCTTGGCGATCTTGACCTGGAGCGCGCGAATCCGGCTGTTCGTCAGCAGCGTCTTCCAGATGCCGCTGCTCTTGTTGCCGATCCAGGCCGGGTTGGGAGGCTTGCGGCCCGCGTCGAGCGCGATGCGAGCCAGAGCTTCGTCACTGAGTCGAAGGTGCGGGGGACGAGTCGGGTCCAAAGCCTCCGTCTGTTCCAGCAGCTCACCGATGCTCTGGTAACCGTCTTCGTCGACGCGGCACGGATCCAGGATGCGAGTCATCAGGCTGTCGTAGCGGGAATGGTCGTCGCGCCACAGCGTGACGAGGGCCGTCGCCGAGCTGGCCTTGCCCTTGGCCGACACGGAACGCTTGGCGGCCTTGCCTCCGAGCCACATGAGATTGTCGTGAACGGTGTTCTCGAAACGGTCGAGGAAGCCGTACCAGCCGAAGAGGCAGACGTTCGCGCTCACCAACACGAGGCGGCCTTGGTTCGCGTTGAGCTTGTCGCGGCGGCGAGCGTCCGAGTTGTCCGTTGGCGCGTACAGTGCACAGTCGAAGAACGTGTCTCGGTGGCGCATGTAGTAGCGCCAGTGCATCAGGTGGAGCTCCGGAAACTCTTCCGGGTCATACCAGGCGCGCTGCCCGGCCCAGGGGTACGCTGCTCGCGGCGGGGGCTTGCCCTGCTTGGCGGCGGCCTTGACCAGCTTCTCGACGTCTCGCTGAACGTCGCGGGGGCAGGTGTCCGGCAAGTCGAACAGGTACTGCGGGGTGCGCGAGCTCTTGCGCTGCTTCTTGGCGGCGGGGGGCTTCTGGTCATCAGCGCTCGAAGCGGCCGGACGCTTGGCCGCGGGTGCAGGAACAGCTTGAACGGCGAAGAGGTCGTGCGCGGGCGCGGGCTCCGTGTCCATCGTAGTGGGCGCTGGCAACAGCACCACCGTGCGCGCGAGCTCCGCGGGCAACAGCGTGTCGTCGGCCAACACGGCCACGGGCACTTCGTCGAGGGCAGTGACGCCAAGCGAGTCGCCGTTGACGAAGCTGGAGCTGCGCAGCCGGGCGTAGAAGTCGACTTGCGCGCGCAGTCGCGCGTCGGCCTCGGCGCCGCGCGTCTTGCGGTCCAAGTGCGAGCGCAGTCGTCGGATGATGGCGGCCTTATTCTCGTGGCGAGGCTTGGTCATGGTGGTGGGGTTCTTGGGCGTCTTGCGGTTGTCTCGGCAAAAGCTGAAAGGAGGACAAGAAGCCAATGAGCGTGAGCTACTGATGGACAACGACTCGACCGTTGGAAGTTGAAGGTCTGTGATTTCCTTTCGGGGAAGGGAGAGACGCGGTTGACGAGCGACACGGCCGTGTCAAACACGGTGAATTGACGAAATGTAACGGTGGGTTGCTGGATCTACCGAAGTGCTGAGTGCGACGGCTGCAGACCTCGCAAGTAGGCAGGAACGGTGGACTCAGGCTGCTCCAAGGGCTGTATTTTAACTTTCGCACGGTGGCGAGATGGAGACGACTATTGAAGTGCTTTTGGAGTTCGTTGGTGCTGTGGCGCGTCGCGCTCACGGTGCTGTGCAAATATTGGTGGGTGACCGTTTTGTTGGTCGTTGGCGCGATTGGCGGAGTGGTGACGAGGCCGCTGTGGAGTATCGCGGGTCGACTGCTCGTCGCGATCTTCGCCTTCGTCTACAAGTGATCTACGCTGGCGCGGGTGTGCCTGAGGCGCTACCGTCGCTTTGTGAACGGTCCGGCCGTAGAAGATCGACCGGCGGCGGAACGGAGATGGAAAGCGTTCGAAGCAATTTGGGCCACGCCCATGATCGTGTTGGAGGCTCGTGGAGAGCACACCGAAGGCCTCGGCAGGCTGCTACACAAGTGGTTGGAAGCGTATCACGCCTTGTGGTGCGTCTTCTTGCCTGACGTATTGGAGCTCAGCTGCAAATCGACGGCCAAGTATTGGAAAGGGTCCAAGGCCGAGTGCAGACGGACGGTCGACCGTGCGAGCTGTGTGTGTCGAGGGTTCTGGGCGTTCGTGTCGTTGCTGGCTTACGCCCTCTTCTACACGGTCGTGTTCGTGTACGACTTCGTGGAGCGAGTGTGCCAAGGAACGGTGGGCGTCGCAGTGCTCCTGCTGACGCTGAACTACATATTGGCTGATGGAGGTCTAGTCGTCGGCGACGGACTCGTGCCCGACGAGACGGTAGTGCGGTGGAGTTGTTATGTGGTGGCGACCTGCGTGGCCAGCCACTTGCTGAAATGGTATGGGGCGACTTCGGGTGGGCGTTCGCCCTTGAAGATGGCCGAGGACCGCTACTCGCAATGACAGCAAGACTTGGAAGAGCTGGAGCAAGCTGAGCGCTTGAGCGAAGCGTTCTGGCGTGCGGACGGCTGCGTAGGCGATAAGAAACCCGTGAGGACGCTCAGTGGGTTGCGCGCCGAACAGCGAGAGCTGCGTGCCAAAATGCAAGCCGACAAGCTGCAAGCTGCTCGACGAGGACGTCGAGTTTCAGTCGGGGAGGATGTCCCGAGTAGGAACGGTCACCACCGTTCCTACTACACGGACGACCGTTCGACCAACGATCGACTTCTGGAGGATCAGCTGTGGGACGATGGGGTGAGCGGGCAGTCATCCATTTCGGAGGGGCGCTGACTGGCGACGCGTCGGTTAGGTGGCGCGCTCGGCTGCGATGGAAGCAGTGACGCGAGCGATGGGTGAGCAGTGACGCGAAGGGCAGGACGGAGGTCACGAGCACCGCGTGGCTCAGGACGTGAGCTGTGAGGTGAGCCAAGGACGAAGGGGTGAGACGAGAGCCAGGTGAGCCGGTGACGTGTTGAAGTCGGCACGTGAGCCGACAGAGAGCCGAAAGAAGAAGGAAGCACGAGCTGTCAGGCTCCGTGCGCGGTAAGGAAGTAGGGTCAGTCGTGAATATGCACTGGAGTGAACAAGTTGATTGCTTTTTCATATTAGCTCGGTTTCTCGCTATTTGTGCCACTGTCTAACCGTTCTAGCTTCCATACAACGCTTGACCGTCCCATCCAGGGCACTCGCGTCAGCACGATCATGCGGAAATACTTCGTTTTAGAGAACCTTGTCTAGTGGGTATCCTGAGGACGTCCAAAACGCCTTATCATTGAGGAGCGATATGAAAATGAACGAGAAGTTTTATGGTGGGGCTTGGCCTAACACTGTTCGAAAAATACTCGACTGTGGCTTCGGGATAACATGATTGAAGTGGAGGCCTGCAAGTTGGTGTTTCTCGGCAATGGTCGCAGGATAACGAATGAGGTTACAGCTTTGGGGATATGAATTTCTCAGCTACCAACACAGGTCCAACGCGAACACGTAAATCAATGCATCCCTAGCGGCGAAACCTCTCGACCTCGATATCATTTCCTGCATTTCCTGCAAACTATCACTTTAGAGTCTAGGGTTTCGTGAAGGATTGACTACCGCTAGCTAACTTTCACCGCCATCGATTAACTCAAACATCCTAATTAAAACCGCCGCTCGAATCATTCGCACTATTTAGGGTCACTTATTCAGCTCAGGTTACTTCTACGTGAACGACATCTTCTAGCGTTCCACTAACGACGATGATACATTGGATATTGGAGCGGACCTTCGACTTAAACTCGTAGGTGATCGCTGGCCGACCCCTGATGCGGCCTCGCTATTCATGTTAGTTGGTAAAGCTTAGCTTAGCTTAGCTGTAGGAACTGTACCTAGCGCTGTTGGGTTTGACGAGTCCCAAGAAAAGAAGACCTGCGCCAAAATATCAAATCATGCTGTATTGCAAGCGCATGCACTTATCGATATTATGGGGACCAGGGTGGTGGACCCGGGGGGTCTCGCAGTTATAAGCTAGCTTGTACGGATGCCCTTACAGGGAAACGATGTACTCGGGCATCTCCTGCGCGTGCTTCGCAGCCGCAGCATCTGCATTTACTACTGTACAACCAAGTGTACCAAGTTTGATTGCATCTTTTCAAAGGCATTGCCAGTTCTCTCCAACGAATTGGTGCTTCAACTCTTGGGTTTGACAAACCCAACGTGGTGATTCTACCTTCTCCTGCTCGTTGGAGTAGGACTCCACGGATTTAGTTTTAACTTTAGTTATTTTGTAGTTAGTAGAACGGTTATCAACAATTAGCTAATCAACGTAATTTTATTCCTTCCTGCCTTTGAAACGTGCGCTGATGCCCAGGCAGAATCCTATATTTCTTAGATTGCATGGTGTGCTCGGAAACTTACAGGCGGCGAAAAAACAGAAAAAATACGTGCATTCAAATATTTAGCGCTTCCAGGCTAACTGCCCAACCGAATTTGCAGGGTAACCCGATGAAGCCAGCAATTTGCTTCAAGTTTGATAAGTTTAGACTGAGGTCTAGCAAATTTCGATCGCGTGTAGGAGTTGGATACACCGGGTGTTTGTCCATCGCGTTGACAATGTCCACCCGGGCTTCCTCTCTTACAGGAATCCGGGGCGTACAGAAAAGTAGGATTATTCAAACTCTGATTGATAAAACATGGCGCAGCCGCACACTGACTTTGTCCGGATCGCCGGAATATCTAACAACAACAAAAACTCCCAGCTTCGATTCGTCCAATTGTGTTATTGCCATTTATCAAGTATTAAACTGAACGTGCCGCATCCATGTAGCATTAGGATGATCGGAACTAATATCGGTAACAATGTACTTTGAAGTTGTTTTAACAAGAACAGGATAAAGTAGAAGATTATTCTACAGTAGTAAATGGGCTCGGTGGATCTCTGCGGGTCGCAATGTACAGCTTATGCGAAGTTGTAGTGGAATGTTTTATCTAATCCATCCAGACACATTCCAATGCGTGTGGGGATTCACACAATATCAGCCTGCCGACAATTTAAGTCACGGCAAACTTAGGTGACCAAAAGATTTTTAATAAATCTCTATGCATGCAGAAGAAAATCTGTGTCTGAAAGAGGAGGGCATAAGTTATGACCCAGGACTGAACAGATTGAATCGATAGCTTTAACACTAATGAAATGAGTGAGTACTATGTTGAGTGCTGTGGAGCCGCATGCAGTTTAATACGATGCAGTGATGTGGTAATGACACCAGTTGTGCTCAAGGTCAGCATCGAGGCTTCTAATTATCACAGACGCCATTACTACGACGAACAACGTACATGTACATAACGTTATCTGTGCAATAGCAAGAATTGCATTCTTTCGAACAATAAAATGTTTGTGCTGGAGCTCCACTCCTCTGGTGGCACCTGGCATCAATCTAGAAGGAAAAGAAACTCCGAGGCGAATAGGCATCTATCAAAAGCTGTAAGTGTAATTCAGACCGGATTCTATTCGCAGTTCGAAGAACTGTCGATTGGGGAAGGTTTTTGGATGACATCGAACGACATTCGCGCTACATTTGTAGCTTCCCCTGCCGGCGGATGACATCGAACGACATTCATGCTACACGGGACCATCGGCACATCATAGATAGATAAAGGATATTGAAGCCGACTAGAACAAATAATAAGGTGCAATTGTGTATATTATAGCTATTTCTAAGCTGTGAGATTCCGAACACTGAAGCTCGACAAGAATGCAATGATTTCTGTTTTACAACGACTGGGCTTCGACCAAAATTAGTGAGTTTACCTAAAGAAAAGTAGTCGAATTTGGGTTCAACATCAAAATCCAAGTTGCCCAAGTAGATATTACTACAGTTTACCAAAGCTAGCGACACGGCTTGTTAATCAACTTCTTCTTCATACGAAAGCATCATGGCCGCGGTGTGATGATAGTGCAGCATTCACCCTGAAAACACGTGCGCTCACGCTGGGCGAGAAGAACTACATGTGCGTTCGCATTCCTGTCGAGGGGATTCAACGAACGACAGATTCGACAAATGTCGACACACCAGTGAAAGGTGATTTCCTGTAGTGATGTGTGAAGAGCAGGGAATGAATAATTCAATTTGTTTGCACAACGTCTGGGCGTACGTTGTACTGTATAAACTTTTGTTGCATAAAAAAGCGACACTGCGTGTTGTGTGTATGCCATATCGTGTCCCGGGTTTGGGGCATTTTTCGCAGGGCAGACTACTACTTCCGAATTAGGCCCAGTCTTGTATCTCGCGGGATGCGGGATGGGACCAATCAGAGCTCTTTGTTGCGGGTCGAAGCGGGACGCTTTAGGGACGACACCCCCTCTTGTCCCGCTGGGATGTTGTGTGGCGCGGGCCGCGGGATACATAAAATTGAAAGGCCAATGTATCGGACTGCATCTCTAACACACTGCCAGGGTGCCGGAGGTCCTGGCAATAACCGAACTCATCCCAACCTCGTCCCGCGATTGCGGGGAGATATAAGACTGGGCCTTACTTCGATTTTGCGTTGGCCATGCTACCGTAACTCGAGCATTTAAACTGTCAATTCGACCTTTTCATTCTGTCATGGGTCATAACTTTTATTATACCCTCCTCTTTCAGACACACGAGAAGATGACTTCACCTTGCGATCGATTCTCTTCTGTATGGATAGTTAATCAGAGAGATTAACTGAAAATCTTGTGCAATTTTCGTGGCATACATTGTTGACAGGCTGGTATTGTGTGAATCCCCACACGTATTGAAATGCGTTTAGGTGTATTAGATTGAACATTCCACTGAGACTTCGCCAAAAACTACTTCAATTATTTTTAACGATAATTGAAGTAGTTTTTTATGTGATCCAAAATGGGAGGTATATCTTGAGTTTTCCGTTCAACGATTTTGTATCCAACGCAAACGCTATCTAACAGAGAGCCAAAGAGCTGCACCCGATGGTATGTCTTCTCCGGAGAAAAGGCTAGAAGCTAGCGCAAAAAGAATGACGACCGTGTATGAAACTGGAAGGAACCTAGTTCAAATTAATCGAGCTAGGAATGGCTCATGTGGGTCCATTAAAAACCTAGCTGCTGTCGCTCAGGCATTTTATCTAGAAAGACTTTGGTTGGTATTATTCTTGCTTTGTGTGAGGCTACATTGCGACCAGCAGGGATTCCCCCGAGCTCATTTACTACTGGTGGTGTATTAATACAATTATGCACTACTTGATCCTGTTCTTGTCAAACAACTTCGAAGTACATCGTTACCGATGTTAGTTTAGAACATCCTAATGCTACATGAATACGGTACGGCCAGCTTAATACTTGATAAATGGCAATGGCATACTTGGACGAATTGAAGCAGACACGGGTTTTGTTGTTAGATATTCAGGCGACCCGGACGAAATATGTGTGTGACTGCGCCATGTTGTATCAAACAGCGTTTGAATGCTTCTAAGTTACGTCGTCGCTGTACGCCCCGGATTCCTGCGCGAGAGGAAGCCCAAGCGGACAGTACCAAAGCGAAGGGCAAATACCCGGTGTATCCTGCTCCTGCAGGCGATCGAGATCTGCTAGACCTCAGTTTTGACGTATCAAATTTGAAACAAATTGCTGGCTTCATCCGTTTTCCCAGCAGGTTCAGTTGAGCAGTTAGCCTGGCAGCGCTAAATCTTCAAATACACGGATTTTTCTTCTTTTGTCTCCTCCGGTAAGTTTCCGAGCAAAACACGGAAAAAGGTTCTGCCTAGGCATCAGCGCACATTTCAGTGGCAGGAAGGAAGGAAGGAAAGTACGTTGATTAGCTCAAAAGTCCGCGAAATGTTCTTAGTGACCCCTCGATAACGGGCACCAGTGGCCATTAATTTGAT